AGCTGGATTAATAACATCATGATAAATAATGTAAAGATTGAAATTCTCAAAGGCTTCATTTTGCTTGGATCCACAATCAACAAATATGGAAGTAGCTGTAAAAGAAATCAAATAACATAGTGCATTAGGCAAATCTGCTGCAAAAGATCTCTTTAACGTGTTCAAGAGCAAAGACATAATTTTGAGGACTAAGGTACACCTGACCCAAGCCATGATCTTTTCAATCACTTTATTGTTGTTGTTGGAATCCTGGTGTGGTGCTGTGGATTATTGCACTGGAATGTAAGTCAATTTGAGCTTCAAGATCACCGGCTGCTCCTCAGAAACTCTATACAGGATCACGATGAGTGGGAACCAACTTGACAGCACTTAACAACAACAACAACAATTGTTGTTAGGTGCCATTGAGTTGATTCTGACCCATAGCCACCCTATGCACAATAGAACGAAACACGGCCCAGTCTTGTGCCAATTTCACAATCGTTGCTGAGCATGAGCCATTGCTGCTACCATGCCATTCATTTCATTGGAGGTCTCCCTCTTGTTCTCTGACTCTCCGCTTTGACAAGATGTTGTCTTTCTTCAGGGATTCATCCCTTTGGATAATATGTCCAAAGATGACGAAAGACGAAGTCTGGTCATTTTGGCTTCTAAGAAGCATTCTGTCTGTACTTCTTCCACCCCAGATTTGTTTGTTCTTCTGGCAGTCCATGGTACTTTCAATATTCTTCTCCAACACCGTAACTCAAATGCATCAATTCTTCTATGGTGTTCCTTATTTATTGTCCAACTTTCATGTGCAGATGAGGTTATTGAAAATACCTTATATGCATGTGAAATTTAGACAATGAATAAGGACAATCATAGAAGAATCAATTCATTTGAATTATGGTGTTAGCAAAGAATAATGAAAGTACCATAAATTGTCAAAAGAACAAGCAAATTTGTCTTGGATGAAGCACAAACAGAATGCTCCTTAGAAGCCAGGATAATGAGACTTTGTCTCTTGTTCTTTGGACATGTTGTCCGAAGGGACCAGTCCCTGGAGAAGGACATCATGCTTAGTAAAGTGGAGGGTCCGTGAAAAAGAGGAAGTCACATAATGAGATACATCAGTACAGTGGCATCAACAATGGACTCAAACACAATAATTGTGAAGCTAGTACAGGACTGGGCATTGTTTAGTTCTGTTGTGCACAGGGGTTCTATGAGTGGTAACTGACTCAATGACACCTAGCAACAAAAATTCAAATGCTGTCTTTGCCTATGTAAAAGATATTAAGTGTAGTAGTGGAGAAAATTAAAAACAGCCCAACTAAACAATACAGTTTTTTAAAAGCCATCTCACACTTTATTAAAAAAAAAAAAAACAATAATCTTACTCCCACTTCTCCACAGCTGCTACTTTATTTCTTTGCTCCCCTTTACAGCAAAACTCTTGAAATAATACTCTTCTTCACTCTCTCCATTTGCTTTCCTCACATTCTTCCCTGAAACTAGTACATTCAGTCTTTCATCTCCACTCCTTCACCAAACTACTCTTGTCAAGGTCACCAATGCCATCCATACTGTCTAGCCCAATGGTCAAACCCCACCACCCTTAACTTATCAGCAGTATTTACAGAGGTGATAATTCTCCCTGACTATTGTCAAGGACTTCATTCTTCTTGGATCAACTATCAACACTCATGGAAACAGCAGTCAAGAAATCAAATGACGTATTGCATTAGGCAAATCTGCTGCACAAGACCTTTTTAAAGTGTTGAAGAGCAAAGATGTCAGCTTGTGGACTAAGGTGCGCCTGACCCAAGCCATGGTATTTTCAATAGCCTCATATGCATGCGAAAGCTAGACAGTGAATAAGGAAGACCATAGAAGAATTGATACTTTTGAGTTATGGTGTTGGAGGAGAATATTGAAAGTGTCATGGGCTGCCAAAAGAACCAATAAATCCGTTTTGGAAGACTTGCAGCCAGAGTGCTCCTTGGAGGCCAAGATGGGCAAACTTCTTCTCTCATATTTCGGGCATGTTGTCAGGAGGGACCAGTCACTGGAGAAAGATATCATGTTTGGTAAGGTGGAGGGTCAGAGAAAAAGAGGAAGACCCCCAACGAGATGGATTGGTCAAGTAGCACCATCGATGGACTCAGCATAGCAACAATAGTGAGGTTGGCCCAGGATCAGGCAGTGTTTCGTTCTGCTGTGCATAATGTCGCTATGAGTCAGTACCGACTTGATGGCAACTAAGAACAACAACAAATTTCTCTTGGTTTCCTCTATCTCAATGGCTGCTCTTTTCAATCTTCTTTGCTGGTTTCTTCTTAGAAGTATAGTAGCTGCTGTGTTGATTATGATTCATGGCACTCCCGTGTATGTCAGAATCGAGCTGTGTGCCACAGAGTCTTCAATGACTGGTATTTCGGAAGTAGATCCCCAGGCCTGTCTTCCAAGGAGCATCTCAGTGAGCTTGAACCTCCAACATTTCAGTTAGCAAAGACTGAGTTTTGGATGAACTCAGTCTTTGCACCAACCAGGGACTCCCTTGTTGTTGTTGTTAGGTGTCATCAAGTTGATTTTCAACTTATAGCAAAGCTATGTAACAGAGTAGATTTGCCCTATATGGGGTTTTCAAGGCAGTAATTTTTATGGAAGCAGACTCAAAAGGCTTTCTCCTACGGGGTCAACGGAGGGATTAAAACCACCAATTGTACTACCAAGGCTCTTGAGAGACTCTAATCAAACCAAAAACCTAACTGACTGTCATTAACTTGATTCTAACTCTTAGTGATCCTATATATTAATATTTCTGAGACTGTGAATCGTTACAGAAGCAGACAGCCTCATCTTTCTCCCATGGAGCAGATGATGCATTTGAACCACCAAGCTTGTGGTTAACAGTCCAGTGTTTATCCTATAGTGCCACCAGGGTTCCTCTTGTTGTTGTTGTTGTTGTTGTTAGGTGCCATCAAGTCGGTACTGACTCATAGCGACCTTATGAACAGCAGAATGAAACACTGCCTGATCCTGGGCCAACCTCACTATTGTTACCATGCTTGAGTCCATCGATGCTGCTATTTGGCCAATCCATTTCCTTGCAGGTCTTCGTTGTGGGTCCTCTAGAGACAATCAAATGTAGATTCATTCTCAGAGACACTTTGATGAAAACAAAGTGACCTAAAAATTACCTGAAGGAAAATGCAGACTATTTTAAAAAACAATTTTCCCATTTGTGGTCTTTAGTGAAAACATCATTGTTGTTATTGTTAAATGTCATCAAGTCGGTTCCAACCCATAGTGACCCTGTATAGCGTTTTCAAGGAGCAGCTGATGAGCTTGAACTGAAGATCTTGAGGCTCAAACCAAGTTTGCAGTCCAGCGCATTAACGCACAGCACCATGTTTATTTTATTTTATTTTCTATATCTAAAGCATAAATGATGTCACCTCTTCTTAGGTTTTGCTCAACTAGCAGGAAAAAATAAATCCAATACTAGATCTCACCAGTAGGCAGAAGATTTTCATTGCTGTTCCTGACTCCCAGCCAGACCTCTACCACATTCACTCCCTGTTTGAAAAGTCCCTCATTTATTCCTGCCCCATCCTTTGCTAAAAATTTTGTGTCTGCTAAACTTAATACACATCATCTATAGCCTTTTTGTTGTTGTTTTTAAGTGTTGTCAAGTCAATTCCAACTCATAGTGACCTGACCTTGAATAGGGTTTCTGAGGAACAGCTGGTGAGTTTGAATCACTGACTTTGTAGGTCAAATTGACCTTGAGGTCCAGTCCTTTATCCCATCATGCCATATCCTTTCTTAAAACTCCTGAAATACCCGTTTTTCTTTGAAGTCCTCAGGACTTGACTAGCATTCTATCCAGTAGCCATTAGCTGTGAATATTCGCATAGGGATTTTGATTGTCTTATTCTAATGAATATATATTTATATTTGACTGTATCTTTCTTTAAATTCCTTACCGCTATCACTTACTAAATGTCAACTATTTGATTGATTGACCAGCTTAATCACAGATATCCAAATCATAGATAGATAGATAGATAGATAGATAGATAGATAGATAGATAGATAAATAGATAGATAGATAGAAGATATAGATAAAAACAAAGACAAGGTTAAACTAAACATATTTTTAAATGTAAAAATCTTTTTGCTTGGCGATGATGCTGTTTTACAGTCAATTTATTATATTACTCTGAGAATAATTTGCCGTAAATATCAAAGTAACATTATGTGCTTTTTCCTCGCTTTTCTCCAAAGAAATTCACAAGGGATATGTTAAATGTCAGAAATAATTGGATCAAGTTGTACAACCCCAATTTGACATTAATATACTTTTGGAGTTCACTATTTGCTGTGAAAGTTTAAAACCTGGTTTGAATGCTGATTATTATAAATAATATATAATTTCTTCCTTAAGATAATAGAACTAACTTTTTAAATATCATGTAATATGAATATACAAGTATGTTTTCAAATGTTAAAAAAAACTCTTATCATTTTCATTCATTAACCAGCAGCATAATATTTTCCAGAAACTCTTCATTCAGCAGAAATCCTGCGGTCCTTCCCTTTGCCTCCAGAAAATGGAACACAAGAGACTGTATAGTTGAAGAATTTTTGCCCTCCTAGAATGAAAGACATTCAAATCTAAATAGTTTCCAGCTGAAGGAAAACAGCCAGCAGCTTCACGGTGTAGATTGAACCAAGGGGAAAATGAACATCACTAACTGTACCCCAGAAGCCAGTGTGGCTGTGAAGCCCAAAACCATTACTGAGAAGATGCTCATTTCCATGACTCTGGTGATCATCACCACCTTGACAATGTTGCTGAATTTGGCCGTGATCATGGCCATCTGCACCACCAAGAAGCTGCACCAGCCTGCAAACTACCTGATCTGTTCTCTGGCTGTGACAGACCTCCTGGTGGCAGTTCTGGTCATGCCTCTGAGTATCATGTACATTGTCATGGACAGCTGGAAACTTGGGTACTTTATCTGCGAGGTGTGGCTGAGTGTGGACATGACCTGCTGTACCTGTTCCATCCTCCATCTCTGTGTCATTGCCCTGGACAGGTACTGGGCCATCACCAATGCTATTGAATATGCCAGGAAGAGAACTGCCAAGAGGGCTGGACTCATGATCCTCACTGTCTGGACAATCTCCATTTTCATCTCTATGCCCCCTCTGTTCTGGCGGAGCCACCGCCGACTCAATCCACCTTCCAGTCAGTGCACCATCCAGCATGATCATGTCATTTACACCATTTACTCCACACTTGGGGCATTTTATATCCCATTGACTTTAATACTGATTCTCTATTACCGAATTTACCATGCAGCCAAGAGCCTCTACCAAAAACGGGGATCAAGCCGGCACTTGAGCAACAGAAGCACAGACAGCCAAAATTCGTTTGCTAATTGTAAACTTACCCAGACTTTCTGTGTGTCAGATTTCTCCACTTCAGACCCTACCACAGAATTTGAAAAAATCCATACTTCCATCAGGATCCCTCCCTTCGACAATGAACTAGATCACCCCGGAGAACGTCAGCAAATCTCTAGTACCAGGGAGCGCAAAGCAGCACGCATCCTGGGCCTGATTTTGGGCGCATTCATTTTGTCTTGGCTGCCATTTTTTATCAAAGAATTAATTGTAGGTCTGAGCATCTACACTGTATCTTCTGAAGTAGCTGACTTCTTGACATGGCTTGGTTATGTTAATTCTCTGATCAACCCTCTGCTCTACACGAGTTTTAATGAAGACTTTAAACGGGCTTTTAAGAAGCTTATTAAGTGTCGAGAACATACATAAATGTTGAAAGCCAAAAGGATTTCTATTGCCAGCCTCATGAATGGATGAGGTTAAGATGTGCAACTTATTAATTCTTGAACATAATTGGTTCAGGAGAGTTTGTAAGTATGTGTGGTCTTGATTTTTGTGTGTTTGTTTTGTTCTGTTTTGTTTGAGGCTTGTTATTTAGTGTGCTGTTTTCTACCTCTGGTCTTTGTGCTATATAATTTTAAATAAACTTTATAATACAAACAGAAATTTCAAAGAAGTAATAAGATCAGATAGTAAATACTTTTTATGTTTTACAGCTACTTCAGTTATTCCTGTGATCAAAGAATGCCAAATAATCTTAATTTATTCATAGAAAGTATTATTACTTATAAATGACATATATTTTTTAACTTGCCCTCATGTGGCATTAAATTTGAGGCTCTGGCTCCACATGCATTTAAATCCTGGTTAGAACTGCATGACTCCACAAAAAATAAAGAGAAAGTGGTTTCCTGTCATTAACTGCTTATAAACCTGAACTCAAGTCATTTATGGGATTACTGTGACTACATAGTCCATTTCTGACAGTCATTTTTTTGTCCATGATGAAAGTAACACCCTCATTTTCTAAAAAGAACTTGAAATTAATTCACTGGCACTTGCTTAAGTCTTTTACCATGAATATGAAACACAAGCAAATTAGAAATAGCTTAAATTTACATTGGTCAATGTGTTATTCTACAACCTCACAGGTTGGCCTTCCTCCCATTCTATGTGTCCCAGCCAAGCTTACACTTATTTTCTCAGTCTAGCAGGATTAAGATGGGAGTGTATGTTAAAAATGGGGAAGTAATTAAGATATTTAACAGGGTATAGTGACTAAATGGCAGGATATATTATCTGAAGAACTTCATTGAAAAAGTTCTCCAGTTGTACACATGGAAAGCAATACAGAGTTGAAATTTTATGTTTACAGTAAATCCACCTACTGGGAAATGAGTATGAAATTGTGTCACCTGGAATTCCTGTAACATCTGTGCCAGATTGGTACTCCGAGGTTATGAGAACCGGTGTCAATACTGAATAACGCTCTAGAAATCCAATTTGTACTCATTTTAGCGAGAGTGGTATTTTCTTTATTTGATTTTGCAAAGTCAGGTGCCCAACCCAGTAGACATGAGCAGAGGCACCACATGGCCGGCCTGGAAACAGTTTTATTCCCCTGTCTCAAAAAAAGCGTCTCTTCCAGTTCCCCTTTTACTGAATAATGTAGAGTCTTTCAATCCACCCCCAACGTCCCATTTTACCTCACTCCAGAGTTCCATAATGTAGCCTGAAGGGTACCCATGGGCTTAATGACTGTTGTTGTTGTTGTTGTTGATGAGTGCCGTCAAGTTGGTTCTGACCCACAGCAAGCCTGTATAGGGTTTCCGAGGAGCAGCTGGTGAGCTTGAACTGACAACCTTGCAATTCAAATGGCTTTGCAGTCTGGCACATTAACTCACAGTGCCACGCCAGGATAATGACTGTATTCTTATTTAAAGTTCCTAGTCCTAGAACAGATTTCTTTCCTCACTTGCCCCAATTCATCTGCTTACATATCCCTAGGTGTGTATCAATAACTTTTGTCTGGTCTAGGAATCTCGTGTGCCCTTTATTCCTGAAAATGGACCATCTTGAGAATTTCTCACAAGGTCAGGAGGCTGCAGGTGGAACCTGACTCAGCCATACCTGACTTGTAGTGACTATTCTAATTATATGGAGGTGTTTACACTACAAAGTCAGGCTTGAGAGTAGAAAAGCCTGGAATTTTGTAAATTCTTGTAAAACTTTGCTCTAAGTAAATGCTGTTTTAGATCACTGCTTTTCATCTCTCATCCACAGCCTTTCCCATATCTTCACTCTCCACAAATCATCCCCTTTCTTTGTTTACTCAGAAAATACTGGTTTGCCTCCTATTCATTGCAATGCTTTTATTTCTTCTCCTAATACTCCTCTTACTGAATAAACATCATATCCCTTATACCTGACCCCTTTCACATTTTCTGTTAATTTGCTCCTTTCTCCTTCTCTTCCTCCTCCTCCTTTTTCTTCTTCTACTCCACCTCTTTTTCTCTCCTCTACCTCTTTTTCTCTGTCTCTGTGGCTCTCTCCTCCAATCATGTTTAATCTTACCTATTAATTTTATAAATTCTCTTGGATTCTGAAATATATTTCTTCTGACCCTGTTTCCCCAAGTTCCTACTTCCAGCTTCCTGTCTTTAAGAACTCTGCCAGCCAAGTTTTTCCAGCCAAATTTTCCCATTAATCCACTCATTCTGCCTCCACTTCTCACCTTCCCCTGAATTTTCTGTTCTTTGCAATCTGAATATTCCCCTCATGAACTCCTAAAGGTCATCAGTGACTTCCCAGCAGGCATATCCTTCCTTTGTCCTTATCTACTTCTTAAGCTTTCATATCTTAATATAGCTAACCCTCCCTTTCTTATTTAAATCCATGCCTTCCAGAGTACTTTATACATTACTCATACTTCTATAACTACCACCTTAACTCCTCATTCTTTGTCTCTTGTGTTTCCTCAGCTCTCACCTTCTCTATTCTCATATTCCATCTCAACTGCTATCATTTCAACAGTGGCTCTTCGATTTGTATATGTAGTTCTGATCTCTTTATTAAACTCTAAGCCCACAAATATGTCTGGTGAGCATCTCCCTGTGAACATTCTTCAGTGCCCAACACAGCCTTTCCAAACTGAACTCAAGATTGTTTTCCCATACCCCAGACTTTCTCCTCCTTCAATGTTCTCAGTCTCACATAGCAGGATGAGTATTCTTTCTAGCATTCACATTAGCTAAGTGTGATTCCCTCTCTTTAGTGTCTCCCACATTCAGATGTTGTTGTTGTTATGTGCCGTGGAGTTGATTCCAACTCATAGTGACCCTGTACAGGGTTTCCAAGGCTGTAAATCTTTACGGGAGCAGAAAGCCTCCTCTTTCTCCCGCGGAACAGCTGGTAGTTTAGAACTGCTGACCATGCATTTCACAGCCCAATTCATAACCACTACGCTACCAGAGCTGTCTTACTTAAAGTCTTGTCCATTTACCTCTACAGAGGTTTTTTAAATCTGCCCCTTGCTTCTCCAACAATTTGATCTTTTTACCTGGTCCAAATACTTCTATCAGATCCATCATGATTCGGAACTCCTCCACTTGCAACTCTGGCTCCACACAACTTCCAGATGCATTTTTCCTAAAATAGTATTGGTCAAAGTGGTGACATCACACCATCATATACAAATACCTGAGAGCTTATTAAAAATGGGATAGAGGTAAATAGTGATATATACATAATCTTGGAACAACTGTGTTCTGTGGGTAGATACATGGAAAGAGACATAGGCTGAATGGGTATGGGAGTAAGAATGGGAGTATTCCCACAAATTATAGGAGTTAGAAAGAGAATATTTGTGCATGGGTATTTACCTTTCCTGTAAACACAGCTATGAATATGATGGAACGTGTAGCAGAAAAATGATGAAAACTTCTTAGATATTATCAAACATCTTAAGGCAATGAATTGTTGGGTCTGGAGACATAAGACTGTAGTCTCAGGGGACACCATGGTCAGTTGATGTAACAGTCCACAAAGACAATTGTCTACATCCTACTTTGGTGAGCAGTCTCTGGGGTCTTGAAAGCTCCTGAACAACTAAGATGCAACTATTGGTCTCTCCATGTGCAGAAGAAAGAAGAGTGATGAGACTTGAAGATGCTTGGAATCAATTAGTCTAATGGACTAATGGAACACATGAACATCAGTCTCCAAGACTCTCAGACCAGAAGAACTAGATGGTACCCAGTTACCACTACCAAATGCTCTGAAATGAGTCACATTAGATGGTCCTGGGTAGAATGGGAGAAAATGTGGAACAAAATTTTTTATTTTCTTAAAAGGTCGGGTTTACTGGTCAGAGACAGTAGGAACCTAAGTGTATGACCCTTTACCACCCTTCAGGTCTGCAAAGGAACTCACTCTCATGGTCCAATTTTCAGCCAAGCTGTTAGTAGAGTGGACTAGAATCTAGTAAGGTATGCTTGTTGGTAAATCATTCAAAATCAATAGGGCAACATTTTTCTAATGACAAAGTTGAGAAGGGATGTGAAGATGGATGAAATGCAAATAGGAACACAGGGAGGAAGCAGGATAATTGTTACGTGGTGGGGATTGCAATTATTGAGATGAAACAAAGTATATGATTTATGTATGATGCAAAGCTTGTCTGTAAGCCTTCACTCAGTTTACAATTTAAATGTTGAAAAAAAAAAAAAAATGCCGTCTAAGGCCCCAACAAACTGAATCAGAAATTATAAGTGTGAAGCCCACCAATCTCTGTTCAAAAGTCCCCCTGGAGATTTTGATGTACAGTAAAAATTGAGACTCATTATTCTAAAATATTTATGGTATTAAGTGCTGCTGAGTTGGTTCTGATTCATAGCTACCTTGTGTAGGATTTCCCAGGGGCAACTGGGTGGGTTTGAACTGCTGACCTTGTAATTATCAGTCCAGTGCTTATCTTAAAGTGCCACACCATGACTTCATATCATATCACTGATTTTTCATTGCAGTACTCAAAAACCTTTACTATTCACCATCAATACAAAAATTAATTCAGTGGTAACTAACAACAGTAGCATTCCAGGCTTCTTCACTATGTCATCTCAAATTACCTTTCTTGAGTTACGTTCTCACCCTCCACACACTTCAGAAATGTCTGAATAATTCCTGTGTTTGCTGACTTCCAATTCACATTTGTTCCCAGTGTTTGGGAAACCTGACCCATGGCTTCCCATCCTTTTCCTACCAGTCTTTCAACGTATAGATTAAATGCTATCTTTTCTGCAAAAGTCTCCTGGTATCCTATTCTTTTTTTGTTCCTCAATAAGTTTTCTCTCCCAACTCTATGCTCGCATAAGACCTCATTTGTATCCTATTATTATATGAATCATACCTTGTAGCATTTGTTTGTGTATTTGTACTGTCTTCCCTAGTAGAGTGTGAGCTCCTTGAGGGCAGGAACTGTTTCAATCTCATCTCTGTATCCCTAGGAACTTCTACAGTGTTTTATGCACAGTGGGTACTCAATAAATGTGTATTTATGTGGATGGAGTTAAGTCCCTAGAAGAGAAAATGCAAATGTACTATCATCCCTCACTGAGAAAATCTCACTGCTTTGTTTCTGAAACTTACCCTGTCATCCCTAG